ATAACAGAGAAAATTTAAAGTCCAAAGTTATTATTTATATTTATTTTTATCACCTTTTAATATTAATTATATTATTTATAAAAGCAATAAAAGTTTGTTAATCACAAGAGGCCAATAGTGTAAGAAAGGCCACATGTACTGAATTTATAGATTTCAGAGAAATACCAGAAAACATGCAAATGAGAAAACAAGTCTCTTACTCATTAACACCTTAAGTCAGATAAGCGGTAATTAAATCATTTTTATACCATAGTCTTACACCAAATTAACATAACATATTGATATAAAAGTTCAAAACTCATACCACCAATCTTATTCCATTATCTATTACCAAAGCCCTGAAAATTTAAATATCAAGTTGATTTTATAAAATGGCATCTTCTAAATTACTGGATACCAAGTCTTGTAACCAAAATTTAAATTTTTGTTAACAATTGGTAAATGGGATACATAAAATTTGCATTGCTTCATTAAGAAAATTAAGGAAAAATAAAATATGATAGTTATTTTTAAGTTAAAATTATGTTCAATTATTCTTGCTTTGTAAATGGTGATTCTAATTAATTTAATAAATGTTTACACTTGATTGCAAAGATTCCCAATTTTAAGATGCTTACTTGTTTCAACTCTCTTCATATACAACAAAACCTATTAAGAAAATTTTTAAAATGTTGCTTAATTAGTAAAGCTTTATACTAAGCCCCAAAATACTCAAGCGATTTTCCCTTTACATGAACAGTGACTGACATGCAAGCCAACAGCCCGACATTAACTAATATAAATGTAATAGAAAGACTAAATGTTTAATGGAAGATGGCAGGGAGAGAGAACTTATCTAGACATTTTTCTATGTACCAAAAATTGTGCAATGTACTATTCTTAAGTCAACTCCTTTATTTATGTATATTAAATACAGGCATATATGATCTACCATCTTTTAGATTTAGTTCCTTGGGAAAGGTTCCCTTCAATTAAACTCCCTATAAACAAGTAATAATGACAAAAATGTTTCAAAATTTAGCCTACTGTCACAGGTTCCAGGCAAACAAATGAAAAGTCAATTAGAAAGAATAGGAGACCATACCTCATAAAACAGATATTTTGATGTTTTGGTATTTTTTCTAGAGGCTAACACATAGTATTTTCCAATTACTTTTCTTTTTGAAAACCTGCATTACTAGTTCAACTAACAAAAGTTCCCACATGGAAGAAAATAGCTCAGTTCACCTTTTGGAGAGCTATCAAACTACATTTCAATTATACTTTACCAGGCACTTTAAAGAGCAAAATTTCCAAGAGGAGCAAAAAGCAAAGTTTGTTAGCTGGTATGAGTGATGACCAAGGGCTACTTACTACACATCACACTGCTTCTTCATTTTTAATTTATTTAATATGATGGTGTTTGTGTATTTCTTTGGTCTGTCCTGTTTGGTTTACTGAGCTTCTCAAATCTATAAATTTATGTCTTCATCTAATGTTGTGAAGTTTGGGACCATTAATAAATTACATACTTTTTCCATGCTAATCACCTTTTCCTCTCTTCTGGAATGCATTTTAATGAATACTGATGTTGTTCCTCATGTTCAGGCTCTGGGTGGGCTTTGTGTTTATTTTTGTTTTCCCCTTCAATCTTTATTCTCTCCTGTTTCTCTGTGTAGATAATTTTTATTAGTCTATCTTTAAGTTAACTGACTCTGTCCCTTCCATTCTGCTTTGTAACTCATGTAATGAATTTTCTAATTGTCACTAATCAGTTGAGAATTTCTACCTTTTCATTTATTTCAAGCGTGCCTACCTCAGGAACCAGAGTTATAATAGCCATTTTTAATTATTTGTGATTTCCAACATCTGGATCTTCTCAAGATTGACATCTACTTGCCTATTCCCTTGAGATTAAGTCACATTCTACTAGTTCTTCATATATCAAGTAATTTTAGACTATATCTGGTACACTGTAAATCTTACATTTACAGACTCCAGATCCTGTGTCTTGTTATAATCCTTTAAAGAGTACTGATTTTTGTTGTTATTGTTGTTGTTGCTGTTTATTTTAGCAGGCATATAGCATAGTTAGATTCAGACTACAATTTCTGCTTCAACTTCTATAGACAGTGGTTCTAACAACAGTTCATTCTCAAAGTCTGCTATGCTGCTTTGGGCCTAGTCCCACGAATGTGCAATTTGGCACTTAGCTTGAAATGCTGGTGACAGTTTAAATCATACTTTCAATAATTTGGGTCTGTTTTGTGCATCTGAAGCTTGGATAGTCTGAACATATACAGACTCATACACTGAATTAGGGGATTCCCTCTCCAGCTCTCTCTTCTCCAGAATTTCCATTATATTCTCTGGCACATGGGGTCTTATTGGGACATCAGCTGCTAGAGCCACTGCTGCTATCTAGCTCCAGACTGGGGTCTGCCATCAGGACAACATGGCAAAACAAAAACAAAAACAAAAACAAAAACAGAAAGTTCATGTCCAGAAGGGTCACTTTGCCAAATTACCACTACCTTCCATAATCTGCCTACTTTGGTCTATTTGACAGAGTCCCTTTATAGTTCTATTTTGTATTTTGACCCATTTTTTTTGTGCAGTTAGAGAGCAAGAGAGGAGCATTAGTGGGATTATGCCACCTAAACTAGAAGTAAACCCACAATGCATGTTAAGAATGTCTTAGCAGCACTGAAGTTTACAGAGTAATGTAGATATAAAAAGCAAAGCAACCAGAGTTCCTCAAAAATACAACTTTGGTGGACTGGGATACACCTCAAAAATGGAGCACTTGGCTCTTCAATCCCTAACACTGGGGAAAAAAAATAGAGAACAGGGGCTAGAGTTGTAGCTCAGTGATAGAGCATTGCACTTACCTCACACGTATGAGGCACTAAATTCAATCCTCAGCACCACATAAAAAAAAAAAATAAAGGTATTGTGTCCATCTACAACTAAAAACTACTTTTAAAAAAGAGAGAGAACACAAAAATACAACTTTGGAGTACTTGTGAAAGAAAATGAAAAGCCATTTATGTTATTATTAACAATAAGATAATAGCACATGTTTACAGTCATCCTAGATAAGAGATAGATAGATAGATAGATAGATAGATAGATAGATAGATAGATAGATAGACAGACAGACCGACCTTGTCTTCCATAAATGGATACATTAAAAACACTTCTTAGTGAAGAGGTAGAAGCCAGTAGAGCAAATGTTACTAAATAATATTTTTCCCCATTAGGTTTTAAATTCTTAAAGGATGGAGTCCATGTTTCAACTTCCTCAGTACATTTGATAAAATCTATTTTAATATTCCCTACAAAACCACTGGCTAATTAATGTTATTGACTAATTTTGTAATTTTGCAGAAATCAAAGGAAAAAGGAACTAATCTTGGAAAATCCAGAAGACTATTAAAATCTAGAAGACTATTTAAGACCTCTTCCACCAATCTTCATTTATCTAAATCCTAAAAATGGCATGAAACAAAGACTGTCCATTTCTCAAAGAGTACCATTAATTTTAAGGTATTTCAGGGACAACTTGAGCAATGTATCATATGGTCTCATTCAAACTACACTTACAAGACAATGAGCTCAGCTGCTGTGACCAAAATGACCAAAACAACTAGTTTCTCAAGAAAAATAAGACAAAGGCCAAAATGAAAACCATCATTACATTGGGGGTATGTAGAGAGAAAGACAACTGAAACAAAGTTACCAAAGATGAGCTAAAGTAGTGAGGGCTCCTCTGTTCAAAAAGGGAAAACTTTCAGGACTATGTAGTAAAACTCTATGCAATCATGAGTGTTATGCATAGAGCGAGTCCCATATACTAAGATTAACCAGATCTTGAAACTAAAATGTGATAGAGCATTTGCTATTAAAGCTTCCAGAAAGGAAGCTTTAATTTAGAACAAATAATATGAAGTAGTATTTAACATAGCAAATATTAAGAGATATAGAGATGTAAAGACAGAACAACTTAAGTTTCAGCAAAAAGTTAAATTAAATCACAACTAGATATCTATAATGATGAATTCAGGAAAGCCAATGAAATTTGAAATATGCCTATAACCTCTTCTGCTTCCTTAAAAATAATAGCAACTAAACATATTCTATTATTGAATTATGAAGAGATATTACTCAATACAGCTTTTCTTACTCATAAAGTTTATTCTTAATGTCAGCCTTAAAACTTTAGTAGTATTATAGACAAGTTATTGGCCAGAAGCTTACAAAACCAGATTAATTCTTTAATTATTCTACTTCATAGGATCATGGCAGCTAACAAAATATTTTTTAGACTTTTAAAATTCAATTATTCTGACATGAAGAAATGCTATACATCAACTATAATAAACTGCAATATCTACAAAACTAAAGTTTTATTTTTAAGTTTACAATAAATCTTATAAATATAAATTTCACATGAAAAATAACCAGAAATATAATCATTGTCATACTTGATAAAGTCCCATTTTTAATTTTTGAATTGTTTTGAAGGAACAAAGATAATCAGAGAATTCCTACTTTTATGTTAAAACATTTCAAGTAATCCCTGAAATTGCCACACTGAAAATGTAACCTAGATCCAAAGAGGGAAGGAAAATTGACCAGGCTCTGGATTAAATTCATAGTAGCATAAAAAAAAGAGGGTGAGGGGACAACAATCTGACATTATAACCTCATTTTTTCTATAGCTATACTAAATAAGGTACACAGTAGATTTTTCTGTTTTTATTTTTAATATTTATTTTTAAGTTGTAGGTGGGCAAAATATCTTAATTCCATTTTTATGTGGTGTGGAGGATTGAACCCAGGGCCTCATGTGTGCTAGGCAAGCACTCTACCACTGAGCTACAACCCCAGCCCTCTGTTTGTTTTTAAAGTTAGCAATTTGGCACTAACAAAGATACCAAATATCACCACAGAAAAAGTTACTTGGGAATACATCTCCATATAGCAAAAAAGACTTAAAATATAGCAGATATACATACTCCTTTTGGAAAGCCATGCACATGGGAGAACTAAATCCAAAGACGAGGCACATCTGGGCATCTGGGCTGTAGCCATTCTGGAGTAATATTTCCAGGCACTCTTCATGTCCTCCAAACACTGCAGAGTAAACAGGGCTCACTTTGTCCAGTCCAGTGTCACAAGCCCGGTTAGTAAGTGGTATTAACAAGTCCAAGATTCTACAAATAAACAAATTCAGGAGGATTTAATGTTTTCATATTTATATGAGGGTAAGCAACATTTCCATTGCATGTATTTTAAGACATTTATTGATTTAAAGAAGTCTTTCTGTCTTTAGTATACTTGCTATCTCTGGTAATTACTACATGACTAACTAGTCCAAATGTTACACTTGTAGTTGCATAATATAAAGGTCCTTAAATATACCTGAAACAGAATTATGTAATGTTCCTACAAGTAAACAGGTAAATTTTTTATCTTTTTTTTTAAACAAATTACTGACTTACCACCTTTCCTCCAAAATTCAAATTCTGTTACATATTTTAGGCTCTTACATGATTAAATATATATTACTAAATAAAGTACCTTCCTTCTTAAAGTACCAATTAATTTTGTTTTTCCAATTAGTATAAATTTTTAAAGATAATGAGTGACATGAAATAAAGAATAATATTTTCATCAGGAGGAAATTCAAATTTCTGCTAAGATATTCTTTGAAAAAAATATGTGCTTATTGAAATTTAAGGCAAATTTGGGGCTGGGAATAGAGCTCAGTTGGTAGAGTGCTTGCCTCGAATGCAGAAGGCCTTGGGTTCAATCCCCAGCACCACACACACACACAAAAAAAAAAAAAAAAAAAACTAAGGCAAATTATAAAGAAGCTGGATGCTAGGTAGAGAAAAGTTCTAAGGAAAATCACTAAAAGTTCTTAGATTATTTGTACAGTTAGGTCTAGTAATCAGGTGAGGAGAAAAAAGAACTATTGTTCTCTTCTAAAACTGAAAATAAAACTGTAAGGATTAAGTAAGCCAGGAAATTTCCCCGCTTCTGGGAAAAGACAGGGCTACTCCAAAGTATCTTTATAACATTGTATTTCTCTTTGCGATTTTTCCTTATGTAAACTAGACCTAAGATAACATTAAAGGAGAACTTACATTCTCAAAAAGGGTTACCTTTGAAGTAGGCTAGGAGGAGTCATTAATGGCAAACAGAAGTCTCAAAATTGAGCACAATTAAGGGTAAATTCCTAAAGGAATTTTGGTATCAACTATAAAGCTCAGCATATAACTGCATCTAAGAGTTATGCTTAAAAAAAAGAAGTGGGAAGGCTAGAGATGTAGTTCAGTGGTAGAGTGATTGCCTAGCATGACTTAAGTCATTGGGTTCAATCTCCAGCACAGGAAAAGGGGTGGGGAGGAAGCATAGTGAAAAATATAAAATTCTAAAACCTAAGTATCTTGCTAAAACAAAGGGTCTACTTAATAGCTCTTAAATTGAATAAATGTGTCTAATTGTTTAAATGGGTTTGAAAATTTTTACTCTTTTCCCCAAAGCACAAATAAGCTTACAAATATCTTTAAAGACACAGTGAAATACCATGCCACCTAGTGGTACAATAAGCAAATTGTAGACTCTGTTTTCCTAGTATGTAAACAAAGTAATGACCATTTTTATTCTTTAAATTAAATAGTACCAACAACAGCTATAAAAAGTATTATGGTAGAATTATGACTCTAAAGATTGTAGACATGTTTTAAAAAAACTTTTAGGTGTCTATATATAATAGGCAGCCATAGTCTTATAGAACTAGGTTATCAGTTTCTAAGATTCTTATAAATCCTGATTTTCTCTTCCCAGAAAACACCGATAAATTCACAGGAACTCTTAAGAAAGATGAGATAAAAAGAATTCCAACCAAAGGGTTCAAGATAGGAAGGTCTACTCAGCATATACAAATGAAAGACTCCATTGTGAGGGGTCACAAGCTCAAATACATTCTGGGGTTATGGAGACAATGTAAGTGAATGAGGGCATCAGAATCCTAGCTGAAGATAAAACTAACAAGGGAGAAAGGATGGTCATAATCAGAGAAATCAGAGGGGAGACACTACACCCTAAGAAAGCCTCAGAATGTACCCCATCTCTAACCATTCTGCCTCATGGAAGGAAAGTAAGATCAAGAGGAGCTAAAGATAACATAGGGACAGATTAGGAACAGACCTAGTCACCAAGCAGATTGGATAGGGAGGGAAATACCAAGGATTTTGCCTGGAGGTAAAAGGTCTGGCCCAGATTTATTCCTTATTAACTTTTAATTAGGAGATCATTTTTATTTTCTGTTTTTAACACTTACTTTGCATGGCCCATTTGTGCAGCTGCATGAATAGGTAACTGCCAGTTGTCCTCATTACAGTAAAGATCAGGATTTGCCCCACTGGACAGCAAAAGTTCCACACATTTTGTGTGACCCTCTTGAGCAGCAATGAACAAGGGAGTAGCTTTGTCCAACGCTTGACAATTTACATTTGCTCCTAACACAAAATAAAACATTTAAGAGAATATCTTCACTAATGTTAAAAAAAATTATAAAATTCAAAGCAACAGCCATAAAAGAGTTTTGACAGTACATCTTTTCTCTCTCCATGGATGTTGTTGAATAAACACATATTGTTAACTTGCTAGGAATCATTTATATTGTTTTTGCTCTTATGTCAGCAAGAAAACAATCATATTTTAGAATTCATTTTTAAATAAAACACAACTCCTGTTCAATGAAATATGCATTTCATTTCAATCCCTCCTCCAACAAGCATTCTGGGTTCAAAATGTAAACATATAAAAGTAAAATGCAAACCATCAAATATGGGTAACATTTCTGAGACTTACTGAGAAAGATGAGAAAAGGCCAAGTTTTGAGACATTATAGATGCCACTAATTGATTTAGACTAAGATTGATGAAAAAAATTACCAATAGATAAAACATACATGGAATCTATGACTTAAAACTAGTATTAATATTAACTATGCTCTTTATTATACCTCTTCCTTCATGACTATTGCATGACAAAGCTGACAAAAGGTATTTTTAAATAGATTTCTGAGCTTACTTTATAATCATAAACCTAATCAAGTTGTTTCAATACCAGTGTATAAAGATTTTAAAAGGTTGAGAATGACCTTAATTTTTGTGAAAGTTTTGAAAATAGACCCCAAACTTTTCTCACTGGCAAACAATGTATTAAATACGTTAAGTATTGTGTTACCACATGTTCATGAGATTATTTTAAATTTTATGGAATATAACTCAATAGAAAAATCATAATGGATGGGGAAATTCAAACTCTCTTTTATTTAAAAGGATATTTGTAAATGCACCTTGAATAAACCAAAGCCCTGAGATAGATAAAAACTATGCAAAATACAAATGGTAAGTTAAAAAAGACTATGGAATCTTCAGGAATTCCAAACATGCTAGACAACTAGAATCTTCTTACTTACAAGAGGTGGGTGCAATACCTGCTGTCATCTTCAGAAAGAAGTGAAAACCATTACTAAGAAAAGACTAAATCAATTGAAGGCATTCCCTCTAAAAACTGAAACAAGACAGGGATATCCTCTTTCACCACTTCTATTTAACACAGTTCTTGAAACACTGGCCAGAGCAATTAGACAGATGAAAGAAATTAAAGAGATACACATAGGAAAAAAAACCTCAAATTGGCAATATTTGCTGATGATATGATTGTACACCTGAAAGACCCTAGAAGTTCCACCAGAAAACTTCTAGAACTAGTAAATGAATTCAGCAAAGTAGCAGGATATAAAATCAACACTCATAAATCAAAGGCATTTCTGTGTATCAGTGAGAAATCCTCAGAAAGGAAAACTACCCCATTTTCAATAGCCACGGGGGGGAAAAAAAAAAAAAAACCCTTGGGAATCAACAAAAGAGGTGAAAGATCTATATAATGAAAATTACAGAAAGAAATCAAAGAAGACCTGAGAAGATAGAAAGATCTACCTTGCTCTTGGACAGGCAGAATTAATCTTATCAAAATGACCATACTTCCAAAAGCACTATACAGACTTAATGCAACTCTGATCAAAATCACAATGACATTCCTCATAGAAATAGAAAAAGCAATCATAAAACTCATCTGGAAAAATAAGAGACCCAGTATCTTTAGCAGGAAGAGTGAAGCAGGTAGCATCACTATACCAGACCTTAAACGATACTACAGAGCAATAGTAACAAAAACAGCATGGCATTGGCACCAAAACAGATTGGTAGACCAATGATACAGAATAGAGGACACAGAGACTAACCCACAAAACTACAATTATCTTATCTTATATTAGACAAAGGTACCAAAAACATGCATTGCAGAAAAGATAGCCTCATCAACAAATGGTGCTGGGAAAACTGGAAATCCATATACAACAAAGTGAAATTAAACCCCTATCTCTCACCATGCACAAAACTCAACTCAAAATGGATCAAGGACTTAGAAATACAACCAGAGACTCTGCGTCTAATAGAAAAATAAGTAGGCCCTAATCTCCATCATGTGGGATTATGCCCCAACTTCCTTAATAAGACTCCTGTGGTGCAAGAATTAAAATCAAGAATCAATAAATGGGATGAACTCAAACTAAAAAGTTTATTTGCAGCAAAAGAAACAATCTATGAGGTGAATAGAGAGCCTACATCTTGGGAGCAAATCTTTACCCCTCATACATCAGATAGAGCACTAATCACTAGGGTATATAAAGAACTCAAAAAGCTAAACATCAAAAAACAAATAACCCAATCAATAAATGGGCCAAGGGCCTAAAGAAACACTTCTCAAAAGATGATGTACAATCAGTCAACAAATATATGAAAAAATGTTCATCATCACTAGAAATTAGAGAAATGCAAATCAAAACTACTCAAAGATTTCATCTCACTGCAGTCAGAATGGCAGCTATTATGAAGACAAACACAATAAATGTTGGTGAGGATGTGGAAAAAAGGGTACACTCATACACTGCTGGTGGGGCTGAAAACTGGTGCAGCCAATATGGAAAGCAGTATGGAGATTTCTTGGAAAACTGGGACTGGAACCACCATTTGACCCAGCTATCCCTCTCCTCAGTCTATACCCCAAGGACTTAAAAACAGCATTCTATAGGGACACAGCCACATCAATGTTTATAGCAGCACAATTCACAATAGCTAAACTATGGAACCAACCAAGATGCCCTTCAATGGATGAATGGATAAAAAAAAAAATGTGAGATATATATATATATATATATATATATGCACAATATTACTTAGCAATAAAAGAGAATAAAATCATGGCATTTAAGGTAAATGGATGGAGTTAGAGAATATAATACTAAGTGAAGTTAGCCATTCCCAAAAAATCAAATGCTCAATATTTTCTTTGATATAAGGAGGCTGATTCATAGTGGGATAGGGAGCAGGAGCATGGGAGGAATAGACGAACTCTAGGTAGGGCAGAGGGGTTGGAGAGGAAGGGAGGGGGCATGGGGTTAAATGATGGTGGAACGTGATGATCATTATTATCCAAAGTACAGTTATGAAGATATGAATTGTTGTGAATATACTTTGTATACAACCAGAGATATAAAAAATTGTGCTCTATGTTTATAAGAAGAAATGTAATGCATTCTGCTGTCATATATAAATAAATAAAATAAAAAGAAAAGACTAAATCAGAAAAGAGCCCTGCTTAACTTTTTTTTTTTAAAATCAATGTTCCATTTTGAAAGAGAATTTCAAAGTATTAGAAAATGTAAGGAACCCATTTCTATAAGACTACAGGTGGAAAAGTTGGGAAAAAAAAACAGATATTTCACTAAAAGGAAAGTCACTTTAAGGAACTGGAAACACACTATTACATTATAAACATACCTAAATACCTTTTCAACTTGCAACTCTTAATAATTCAGAAGGAGAAAAGAAGAAGAAGGAAAAGGGACAAAAAAAAAAAATAGGTGACGAGGTTGACTTGGCATGAGGGGAGAACCTCTGAGGTGCAGTTTAACTTATTTTATTCAAAATATTAATTGAACATTAATAACTGAAACTTGTGGAACTGGAAGTCATTAATAGAATTAGGATAGTCCTCAGGAGTATTAAGGAGTAAAGGAAGGAACGTCAGAAGTCAGAAGATCTGAATCCTATGCTAGCTGAAGATGCCTGGGATAAAACTAAGGAGGGGGAGAGGATGGTCATAATCAGATAAATCAGAAGGGAAACTCAACACCCTAAGAAAGTCCCCAAAGCCATCCTCTCCAACCACTGTCTGCCTCATGGTAGGAAAAGTTTCTACCCTGATTCTTATTCTGTCAGGAAATAAGTTTCTAGATTTTTGGCAAGGCACTTAACACTTGGAGCCTGAGATTCTTAACCTAAAAAGAAAACATATTTAAAGAAATTATTTTGGAGCTGTGTATAGTGGCGCAAGGCTCAGGAGGCTGAGGCAAGAGGAACATAAGTTCAAAGCCAGCCTCAGCAAAAGCAAGGCCCTAAGCAACTCAGTGAGACTCTGTCTCTAAATAAAATGCAAAATAGGGCTGGGGATATGGCTCAGTGGTCAAGTGCCCATGAGTTCAATCCCTAGTACCCACCCCAGAAAAAAGAAAGAAAGAAATTATTTTAGAATTTCCTTTCAACTCTAATATTTATAAGTTCATTATTTATAACAGACATTTTAAACTAGCAGTTAATTTGCTTTTTTCCCCTCCATATTTAAAACTAAATATTTGAAGGTTTGTTAAGAAAATCAGTTTCCTGGTGTCTAAATATATTTTTTGTCTGTTTGAAGGTAGGGTGGCTTTTTTGTTTTTGTTTTTGTTTTTTTTTTTTTGGTGGGGGGGGGGATTAAATCCAGGGGTGCTTTACCACTCAGCTATATCCCCAGTCCTTTCTATTTTGAGCCAGGGTCTCACTGAATTGCTGAGGATCTCACTAAATTGCTGGCATCAGCCTCAAACTTGCAGTCCTGTCTCAGTCTTCCAAGACTCTGAGATTACAGTTGCATACTACCATAACCAGCTTGAGGGTAACTTTTAAAAGCCCAGATACTGAAATAAATTGCCTGAAAAAAAATCTGGTGACACTTCCCCTCCCCACAACTATCCATGCTTCTTCAGATTAGAATTTTGAGAGTACACAGTCAAGACTTTAAAAGCCCCAAATAACAAACACTTCTAGTCACAGAAATGTCACACAAATTAAGAATGCCCCCTTAGCATCATCCTCTCTGGCAATGCTAAATGTGTAATGGTTATCACAGAGAAAACCTTAGCAGACTTGTGTTGCTATTAACATAATAAAGTATAAGCATGCTTTGAAATAAACCCATTCAAATAAATACACAATTATTAAAACATAAATATAAAGGCTTAATATATAAAATAACCATATAATAAATTAATTAAGCCTAAACTGATCTTGTACATTAGGAAGCTGGAAGTGCTCTGGTCCCTAAATGAAAAGGCAGCTCCATCATTCAAACTGCCAATTGCTAAGAGCCACAGCCAAGTAATATGATGCATGGCATTTTTGGTTGAAAGGTGTCTCCAGCAAGCCATTGAGATGATATGATTATGTTAAGATCTGCATTCATATGGATATTGGACTCCTGTTGTCCACCTCGGCCTGCTACGGGACTCCTGGAGAGTTCCCATTGGTTGGGGAAGTGCGGTAGGAGGGATTTCAAGAGGAGGGACTTCCTGTGGGGGTCGGGGGAGAAGGCAGCGTGGGTAGGTCAGGCAATCTTCCCCGGAGCATACGGGGCATTGGCGGCAGTTTCAAAAATAAAGTTTGTTCCTGCTTGAGTGGCTCGTGATTTGTGCCCAGCCAGACTGCGGCAGCCAATAAACCTGCTTTAGTGACAGATCTTACAAGAGTGTTCTTACACAGAAAAATTAGTAGCCTATGCATTGCACTGCTAGTAATAGACAGTCAATAATCAGGCTTATAAATCAACTTATATATATATATATATATTTATTTATTTACCATGTACATAAAACCATTAATTTCATAACCTTATTTATACATGGGTCAAGAATTATTTTTCCTAAGATATAAAGTTAAAATTTATGATCAACAGTGCAAAGGCTAATGAATTAATCTTACCCGATGAAATAAGTATGTTCAAGCTTTCTAGCTTGCCATACTGTGCAGCCACAAATAAAGGCGTGATTCCAAAGTCATCCTGGCATTCCTTGTTTGCTCCTTTTTTAAGAAGCAATTTTATGATCTCAGCATTTTCCTAAAGCACAGATTCATATTTTAAATAAAAGGAAAAAAGTGGAAGGTATCTTTTTTTCTTATTGTATTTTTTTTTTCTGTTTTTCTTTTTAATCTTCTCAGTAAAGGAAAACTTGAAGAAGAAAAAAATCAACGAAACAATTTATGGTTGTATTGGTTGGGAAGGAAATGACCAAACAATGAAATTATACCATACTTTTAGCTAGCCCAATAAATGTAAACAGATTAAATATTGATCTCTAGGGATTATAATCCTTATGAAATTTTGCAAAATTAATTTACTAACCCAGCACTAAGGATATAACACAGGTTCTAAACACACCATTATAAAGAAGCCATTGCTCTTTATCAATTTACATCCCATATATTCTGATGTTTGTTAACTATGCTATCAACATTTGAAAAATTTAAATAATCCTTATAGCCCAAAGTTGCTACAGCTACTATAGCAGTTGGCTTATTCAGAATGATCATTAGCATTTAGACTGCCTTTTCTGTGCTGCACTAACCATTATAAATCACCGGCAAGTAGAAAGCAAAAACTGTACAGAACTGTCATTTTGAAAGGGTAAAACACACAATTTACATGGAAATGAAATAATAAATTCAGAGATTACCTGGAAAGAAGCCTGGTGCAAGGAGTTCCATCCACACATAGAATGGGATCCATTAACATTTGCTCCATGTCGAAGTAACAGCCTTAACACATCTATCTGTCCATTTTCAACAGCTGCGATACACAGGAGTCAGAAAAATTTTTGTCAGCAAAAAGGTATGTTTATAGGACTAGACACTTTGGTAATGTTCTCATCACTTATTCACCTCAGAACTCACAATGCTGTGACCATTCCTAAATAGTTATCACAAAATCATGTCTTAACCCAAACTCATTTACATACACCTAATCCTTTCTGTGCACATACAAAATTATTTTCAATAGTGTGCTAAAAGACACAGAGGAAATGGAGACAAAAAGCAAACATTCTCTCTGAAAATGAAAACAATATGGTTCAGAAGAAATAGTACCAGTCTGGAGAAACCGTCTCAAAAAGGTCGAAAGGTTTGTTATCATTACCATTTGATCAAAAATTACAAGAATCACTGACAAAGTGAAAGATAAGTTCTCAATTTTGGACATTTTTTCACCACCGTGAACAACCAATGATATGCTTATGCGCTGGAGTTGTGGCTCAGCAGTAGAGAGCTTGCCTAGCATGTGCGAAGTCCTGGGTTCAATCCTCAGCAACACATAAAAATAAATAAATAAAATAAAGGTATTATGTCCAACTACAACTAAAAAATAAATATTAAAAAAAAATATTCTTATATCCACCAATAAAAATCTTCTCATATATTTGAATTAAAGGGGGACTCCAGATAAACCAAAAACTGTCGTTAGAGAAATATATGTTATTTAACTAATAACTAAAACTGATTACTCCCAATTGCTGGTATAGTAGAAGCTCCAAAGAAATAATTTATATGCCTACAAATAACCCCCAAAAAGGATACACACAAATATTGGACTTCCATTTACATATGTAACTTAACATTAAAACAAGGTATATTTAAGTCTAATATCAAGTACATATAACAGTTTATAAATCCTACTTGGTAAGAATGAACAATCTACTTGGGGGAACATGTTATCAGTTGGTACAACAAGCAAGTAGGGCTAAACCTTCCACAATGTATCCACCAGAAAATTTTGCTAAGAAGAAGACAATAATTCTGGAAGAGTTTAAGCATGGAGTTAATGAAAAACAGAATGCCAGAATATAATTATATACAGTAGTTCTCCTTATCCAATTTCACTTTCTACACTTTTCAGTCACTCACAGTAAATGGTAGCCCAAAATTTTAAATGGAAAAATTCCTGAAATAAACAGTGTGTAAATTTAAAATTGCTTACTGTTCTGAATGGTATCATGAAAACTCAGGCTGTTAATTTTCTCCTTCCCATGACATGAATCATCTAGCATATCCACACTGTATACAGGACCTGTCCATTAGTCATTTAGTAATCTTAGCCATTTCATTTCGAGGAAGGGGGTAGAAAACAGAGCTTCAGGCATCTACTGGGCATCTTGGAATGTATTCCCTGCATATGAGGGGATACTTAGGGGTTACTAATGTAGTGCTACATAAAGTAAGTATACACATACACAAACACACATACTCATAAATCACTGGCAAATAAGATAAAATTTAATAGCCCCACACCTATTAAATTATTTTATTAAATTTTAAGTTTGGAGAAATAGTAATATCTACAACAGAGTTGAGATATGTATAAGAAGGCCTAACTTCATGTGCTTGGGTATATATTTTATTTTAAACAATTTTTCTGTATCTCCTACTAGAGTAGAGGATGGAAATGGGAATATAGGAATCAACAACTTTCAGGCATAAAAATGAAAGGCATTAGATAATTGGATGACAATTACACTTGAAAAATGTTAAGACAGATGAAACAATGGGGAAAATAAAATACTTAAAATGTAAAGCAAGAAGTATACGCATTATTACTGAAGATAAGTAACATGCCATTGATATTCTATTAGTTTTTTACTGGCAGTGAGGTTGGTTTTGTTTGTTTGTGATACTGGGGATTTGTTTGTTTGGGATACCAGGGGTGCTCTACTACCAAGCTACATCCCAAACCCTGAACCCCTTTTATATTGTTGTTTTGTTTTTGAGACAGGGTCTTGCTAAACTGCAGTTTGTGATCCTCCTGCCTCAGCCTCCTGAGTCACTGGGATTATAGGTGTTTGTCATGGTACCTGGCAATATTCTATTAGTTTTAGATATTGAATTTATACTTATAGCTTGGATCTGGAATGTAAATCTCCCTATGTTGAAAGTGTGGTCCCCAAGGAGGCAATGTCCAGAGATGAGACTTTTGAAAAGTGGTTGGATCGTGAGGGCTCTGACCTTATGATCTAATGTATTAATCCACTGAAGACTACTTGGAACACTGACAAGTATTCCTAGGGGGAAGAAGTAGATCATTGGGGTTGTGCTCTGGAAAGGTTTATCTTCTTCAGCCCTTCCCCCACCCATCCCAATCTCTCTCTCTTCTGGGTCCCAAAGCAGCTTTCCTCTGGCATATCCTTCTACCATAATGTTCTGCCTTGCCTCAGGCCAAAAGCAATGGAGCTGGTGACTGTGGACTGAAAGCTCTGAAACTGTGAGACAAAATAAGTCATTCTTCCTCTAAATTGTTCTTGTCAGGTATTTGGTTATAGCAGTGAAAAACTGACTAATGCAAACCAAAGCTTATTTCTTCATAAGAACTCTAGGAAGTCTTTTAATCAAAAATTCCCTCATTCTGGGCAGGTTCAGAAATGTAACCAATAAGTTTAACATTATTTACTTTATTTCTAAGTTAATATTTAAGCATTTTATCAAGGAAAAAACAACAAGTTTTTCAAGCTATTTTTCTATATTCAATCTAAAGTCAATCTAATTTGGAGTGGATGTCATGACAGAAAAGGAAGAAAATCTGTTTCAAATCCAAGTCATTTATCATTAGCAGTGATTGCTTGCAAAAAATCAGTCTATAGCTAGGCAGACCCTGAGTTGAAAATTATCAGGTTGTTGGTGATGATATATGAAGGAGGATGGAGATAAATTTGTTTTCTACGAGTTAGGCTGACCTTATAAAAAAGAAAATAATTTTACTGTGATTATTAAATACAGTATAGAAGTCAGACAGAAAAACTGTTTTCACTTTTAATATTATAAATTAAAATTGCTGATCTCTACTGAAAACACTTCCTAATAGCAAGAGTGAAACCTGTACATAAGCAAATAAATAACATTTTCATAGCTCTTGCTAATTATTTCAAAATAAAATAAACTTAATGATTAATAATTGTGAAATAGTAGTTTATGAAAGTATATTTATAGCTTACATTTACTACCAAAATCTCTGCTTTGGAAGAAATGCAATAATACTGTCTTTATCAAATTGAAGAAGGGATCTAACACTGTGAACAGTACACATCCAAAAAGGAAGTTTTTCTACATATTTTCTCAATCCTTCTAAGAAAAGCAAGCATAGTACTGTGGTTAGAAACTATCCCACATCTAAAATAAGACTATGCAAATCTTTTCCCAAAACATAGTCAACCATCAAGCAACTATAACACCGAGTATTTTTGTATTCTATGGGGACAGTGGGGATACAGGTAAAGAAGGAACCATAGAGAAGGATACCAAAGCATTAAGAGTACTTCTGCCAGGCTGGGGCTGGGGCTCAGGGGTAGCGCACTTGCCTGGCATGTGTGAGGCACTGGGTTCGATTCTCAGCACCACATATAAATAAATAAATAAAGGGCTATCAACAACTTAAAAATATATTTAAAAAAAAAAAGAATACTTCTGCCTACCAACATATAGAGAGAAATGATAAATGCATAAGTAATGATAGCAAATTATCCCTACCTGACTGAATCAGTGATGTTAACTTGGTGGAAATGGACTACACAAGGGTATTTTATGTTACATTGCCTCCTCTCTAATTTCTCATATCACCCATTTTCTGGTGGGTTCTACTGTTCAACCTGTAAACTGGTTTAGTCTTAAAAATAAAACAAATAATTTGTCATGACCCCTGCTATCAATATGCTATTTTCTTTTACTTTTTTTGCCACTAAACTTCACCCAAAGACCACTCTCCTTAAGTCTACATTCACTGATTCCATTTTTCCAATCAGCTGTTAACAAATACTGTCTACAACATACCAAGCAATGTTCGAGATATTAAAAATACAGAAGCAAATGAGAGATCAAAATTCCTGCCTTCATGGACCTTACAAAGTCTCTATCCATAAGTAGTATGCAAACTTCACTCCCGTAATTCATTTGTAATTATTCCCTTGATAATAATCATCAGTGACACCCAGGTCATCAAATTCAATGGCCTTTTCTCAAGCTGTAACTTCCTATTCAGTTTCTACTGCCTGTGACATTAAATTCTTCATATCTCTTTGATATTTGAATATTATCAAATACAATTAATTTATACATGATATGAAAATGATCATAAACATATGAAGAATATTATATAATATTTTGAGGAAGAAAGGGGAAAGATGAGAAAAAGGAAGAGGAAGAAATTATTTTATGGGCACAAATGCCTAGGACCAATCATTTCAAAACCAGGGAACTGTATGTCCCCATTGTTATTACATCAGCAGTAACATAATCATCGTTATGTCCCAATTCAAATCTTAAAGTAACATGTACAAAAATAAGCATTAGTAATTGTGCACAAGATGGCATCTGGAGAACAACGGAAAATTGACTCAACTCTTGTAAACTGCATTTTTCTGAAACACCACTATCAAACCTGGCAGATACTTAAAAGATCAATGGTCTTTCATCCTTTGAACACTGTTTCAGAATCAATATGAACAGGTAACAAATATTACATGAGGCAAAATTGATAAAGCACTATATTAAAAAAGATCTTAAAAACTTATCAAATAATTAAACTACATGAACCTTATTTGGATCAAGATTTCAACAAATTGAAATACACACACACAAATACATAACAATAAAGGAAATTTCAATACTAACTGGATATTTGATGATATTAATGAATTATTATTTTAGATATGATAATTTAGTTATAATAAAGTATCTTTATCCTGTGGAGATAGATATGCAAGTATTTTTATATGATGAATGGGATTTTCCTTAAAAAAATGAGTGGGGGTA